CCGCGTTGGCATGCACAGAAAACAAATCGTTCGCGGAGGCTGGCTGACGCGCGGGGGTGGCGCGCGCCACCCGCGCGCGCGGGGAGTGCTGCATTGACCAAGAGAAACGTCATGCTGAAAGTATTAGATAGCACGTGCGCGCCCGTCCATTACCCGCATGAAACGAAGTGGCGCGCGCCGCCGCCCGCCGAAGACGCACGCGGCCCCTTGAGGACGCCCGCGGGGCACCGCGCGCTCAGAACGCAGAAGAGGCCAACGCATGGAAGCGCGCAAAGGCCCGCCAGAAACAACACAAACCCCATGTGACCTCACTGTTCTGGGATAGGGCCCACTGGAATCCGCCGCGCGTAGATTGCGAACCTGCGAAGTTCACCTGGGGCCAGTCAGTGGGCCCAGCATCGATTTGACGCGCGCAATGAACTCATCCTTGGGAAGGGCCCAACCACGTGCAGTTGCGAGTTCAGTAATTGTGCCTACCCCTGCGGCGACGGATTTTTTGCGGGGCCACGAAACGAGCGAAGGGTGTGCCGAAACTGGCGGCGGCGCCATGCGAACTTCTAATTGGCGGCATTGGGTTGAGCTCCCGATGGGGCCACGTCGGGCGTGAGGGGTGCGCCGAAATGGGGCGGCGGTGCCATGCGAACTTTCCAACTGGCGCCTTCGGCGGGGTTCCCTATGGCGCCACGGAGCGCGTGAGGCGTGTGCCGACATGGGGCGGCGGTGCCATGCGAACTTCACCAGCGCGGCCTTAGGTGGAGCTCCGTATGGGGCCGCGAAGCGTATGGTGGGCGCGCCGACATGGGACGACGGTGCCGTGCAATTTTTCCGCTGGGGCTTTAGATGGGGCTCCCATGGGGCCGCGAAGCGTGCGAGGGGAGTGCCGACATCGCTCGGCAGCGTCATGCGACCTTTTCCCACTTGGGCCTTCGGTGGGGCTCCCTATGGGGCCACGAAGCGCGCGAGGGGCGTGCCGCAATGCGGCGGCGGTGCCATGCGAATCCCCCCGCTGGGGCCGCAAGTGGGCCCCCCCCATGGGGCCGCGAAGCGTGCGAGGGCGTGCCGTAATGGGGCGGCGGCGTCGTGCGAATTTCCCCGTTGGCGCCTTAGGTGCGGCTCCTATGGGGCCGCGACCCGCGCGGGGGGCGCGCCGAAGTGGGGCGGCTGTGCCGCGCTAACTTTTCCACTGGGGCCTCAGGCGGGCCCCCTATGGCGCTGCGAAGCGCGCGGGGGATGAGGCGGCGGCGCCGTGCGACCTTTCCCACTGGGGCATTCGGCGGAGCCCCCAATGGGGCCGCGAAGCGCGTGAGGGGCGTGCCGAAATGACGCGGCTGTGCCACGCTGGTTTCCCCAGTGCGGCCGTGGGTGGGGACCCCTGAGGGGCCGCGGAACGCGCGTGGGGCGTGTCGAAGTGGAGCTGCTGCGCTGCGCCATGCTAGCGTTCCCACTGCGGCCTTATGCGGAGCCCCCCCCCCCCCCCCAATGGGGGCGCGAAGCGTTTGAGGGGCGCGCCGAAACAGACAGATACACGCGGATTGCGCGGCGCGGGCAAGGATGGGAGGAGAGGAGGGGGGGGGGGGTGAGTGAGGAACGCGGGGCGCTTTCTCTTCAAAACGAGGGCCCGACTCCGCGGGATGGCTGGGGAAAGAGCACGCGACGTCACAGTTGGTCGCCGCGGTCTCGCGCGGGAATGTATATCACCCAAAACGCCACCCACGTGCCCTTAGGACGATCTGCGTTTGGCTAAGACGACGCGTTCGTCCACGTGGCACCCCAGCGGGCGCCCGCGCGGGCCCGCGCAGGGCCCCGCGGGGGAACGGTTGGAATGCAGCGGGTGTCTTTCCAGAGCTCCAAAGTCCAGCGGGTGCACCGTTGCGTTCGGGCGGTTGGCGGCGCGCTCGGTGCGGCGTCTAGCTGGGCACCCGCGAAAGCGCGGGTTTCACCTTGTGCGCGCGGCGAACATGTCGGGCCCATCCAGGGGCCAGGCAGGGCGTGGGGCCGTGCCCGCAGAGAGGCGATTGGGCTGGTTTCGGGCGTGCAACGGCGCGCGCGGCGCGGCGCCTCGCTCGGGCTATATGGGGCATTGGGCGCGTCGCGGCGCGCGCGGCGCAGCGCCTTCGATTTGCCATGATGGGGGCGCGCGCGTTCGTTGGCGCCCGCGGCGCGCGCCCCGCTCTGATCTCGGATCGGAAGCATCGGCTCGCCACCGCCGCCCAAACTCCGAAGATGCACGCTTGGAAGGGGTGGCGGGCAGACGCAAGTCGGAATCCCACCAGCCCTCTGGGCGTATGTGGTTTAGCGAGTGGTGCGTCTCTCTGCCAAAACCTCCTTCCCTTGTTCGGGGGGGGCGGGGGGGAGGGGGTGCACCACTCCCCCTACCCCCTGCCCTGGATCTGGGAGGGGGAGGGGGGAGGGGGCTCGACGCATTAGAGCGCCCAATATGACCCAAGGTTGCTCCAAGGGTGCCCCAGAAGATAGCCCAAGATGGCTTCCAAGATGGCCCAATATAGCTCAAGGTGGCCCAAGATAGCTTTCGACGCACATCCAAGATGCTTCGAGACGGCCCTGGGAGGGTTTCCAATGTCTTTCGCGTCCTTCAATTGCCCTCCCAAGAGGCCCGCATGATTCCAAAACCTAGGGACAACCAATGCTGCTTGCCTTCTCGCACGTTCGCCCCCGACGTGCTCTCAAGGCGCCAATAGGCCGCGACATTGCCCCAGGGAGCCCAAGGTGCCCAAGGCTGCCCAAGGCGCCCCCCCCCCCCACCCCACCCCACCACGCACACACGGGCGCCCAAGAACGCCCCAAGAAAAGCTGCAACAGTCGGCCCCAATGCGCTTCTGTGGGTTTCCAAGGGGTGCGGTCCGAATTAACGCAGCCCTCTTGCGTTTCAGCCGCAGCCCCCAAGATGGCCCGACGAGGCCCCCCGAGACGCCCAGAAAGAGCCCCAAGAGGGCCCAGGGGCCCACACAAAAACAAGCCCCAAGAGGGCCCACGAGGGCCCCCAAAAAAACACCCAGAGCGCCCCACGGCGGCTACACAAGGCATCCGAGACAACGCTCCCGAGGCGGTTGTTGCACACCCTGCTGGCCACCAACACCGCCAGCACCAGCAGCAGCACCACCAGCACCACCAGCAACAGCAGCACCACGCCAAACACCAGCAACAGCATCCGCAGCAACACCAACAGCAACGTCAGCAGCATCACCAGCAGCACGAGAACCAGCAACACCAGCCGCAACATCAGCAGCACCAGCAGCAGCAGCAGCATCAGCGACAGCCCAACCACGACCAGCAATAGCACCAGCAGCAGCATCAGCATCACCAGCAGCGCAAGCACAGCAGCAACAGCAGCACCACCAGCAGCAGCAACAGCACGAGCAGCAGCACCAGACGGATCGGTCCCGAGCTTGACCCATCGAGGTGACCGCGGGTTGGTCCCAAGTTTTACCCCCCGAGGTGACCACGGATCGGTCCTGAGCTTTACCCCCCGAGGTGACCACGGATCGGCCCCGAGTTGTACCACTCGAGGTGGCCACGGATCGGTCCCGAACGTTACCCCTCGAAGTGACCACGGACCCATCCCGAGCTTTACCGCACGAAGTGGCTTCGATTCGGTCCCGAGCGTTACCCGCCGAGGTGACCACAGATCCGTCCCGAGCTTTTTACCCCTCGAGGTGACCTCGGATGGGCCCCGAGCTGTACCCCTCGAGGTGACCTTGGATCGGTCCCGAACGTTGCCCACCGATGTGCCAGGATGGCCCCAAGATGCGGGTGAAGCACCCGCAGCAACCGGACAGCACCGACAACAGCACCACCAGCATCACAAACATAACCAGCAACAGCACAAGCGGCACCCCAGCATAATGAGAAACCGCGCAAGCCAGCCAACAACACCAGCAGCGGCACCAGCAGCGGCGCCACCAGCACCATGAGCAACACCACCAGCACCACCGCCAGCAGAAGCACCGCCAATCTGCGCTTCCAGGGCTCTCCCACTGTACTGCTGTGGCCCGTGATACCGCCGTGGCATAGGAAACTATATTAAGTCACAAACTGTATGTTCCAGCTGGTTCTGCGCCCCTTCAACGCGCCTCCGAAACGGCTGTGTGACTGCGTCCTTCCAAGGATCATTGGCTAACCAACTCACTTGGCTATCGTTTCTGGGTGGGCTGGTGGGGGCACGCGAAGCGTCAACATGTTTTGCCATGTCTCATGAGGGGCCCCTTGGGCCTTGGGGCAATATTAGAGGCCTCTTGGGATGTCCTTGTGGGGCACCCTGGCGGCCTCTTAGGCCGTCGCACGGCAACCCTGCGCCATTTTGGGTCTCGTTCGGGCCGTTTCCCAGGTTCTCCTGCAAAAAAAACATCTTGGGTCGGATTGGCTGCGCCTGCGGCCGCATTGCGGCCAGATTGGGTTTTCGTGAGTACCGTGGGCCTTCATGGGCCGCTTGTCTTAGTCGAGCCGACGCTTCTCTGAGCCCGTCGGGTGTCACTAGTCAACTCCTGGTGCAATCACTGGTATGGTAATGCAGTTAGCAGCGCAAGCATTGATTGGGTGGTACAGCTAGCGGTCGCATAACTCGGACCCGCCGCAGCGCCTATATGGGCGCCGAGGCGTGTTGGACAGGCTCCGACGCCCCTCCCTGGCGGACCCAACGCCGACCCCAGACGCCCTGCAACGGCCTCAAGACGACCCGCCGCGTCCCCAGACATGCCCCCACGACGGCCGTCACGGCCGCCACTCTGGCCCAGGAAGGCCGCGGCTCCCCCTGCCCCCACCCCGCACCCCCGAGGACGACACCTCTGCGTTGTATGTCCCGCGGCGGGGGCGACGTCGGATCACCGTGAGGTGCAGATCAAAAAACAATGGCGCCCAGCAGCCCTCTCGTGCAAATGCAACAGAAAATATCAACGTCAACCAAACATCATACTTCACCAACGTGGCGTGAAACACATGTGTTTTCAAGGGCGTGCGGCACGCAACTCAGTACACGGATATGTCTATTTCTCTGGCTCGGACTCTTCGTCATCCCGTTGATGGCGCTCCTGCTCGAAGATGTCCTCGGACCCTGCGAGCCCTCTGAGGATATCCCTGCCGTGCCTCCTGGTAGCATGATCGATCGTATTATACAAGTTCTTGTGGTCCCAGGCGTCGCTGCACTCGTCAGCCGAGAGCAGCCAGGCCATGAGGTGGCCCAACGGCCTGCCTTGACCCTGCGCCCGCTTGGTCGCCCCCTTGCCACGGCGAGACACTCGGCACCGTCTCCCGTGTGCTTCACACTCGCCGCAGTACGCATAGATCTCGTTGTTCTTATAGGCGACGATAGAGCCGCCCCCAAGATGACCAGGCAGCCTGAAACTACACACGGCCTGTTCTCGCAGGTGTGGCGGATGCTCGACGCCGAGGTCGGGGGGCTCGTCGGCGCCAGCGTCCTCCGACGAACTCGAACTCGCCGTAGACGAGCTGTCAGACGACAGTTGCTCTCGACTGCCGTCGGAGCCATCCACCGCGGCCTCGACGATGGCCTGCTCCTCCTCGACGCCCGAGGCCCCCACCTCGCCGCCGCCGCCGTCAGCAGAGCCGCCGCCCTCAGTGGCAGCGTCGCCCCCATCCGAGTCGCCCCCGCCGCCATCGTCGGATCTCTCGTCGCGCGCGGCCTTGAAGCGGTCGGCCAGAGCGTGCCACTGGCTGATCCGTCGACGCCTCGGCGCGGCGGGGTCTCAAATGACGTGCGTCTCGCCGTCGTGGACGGCTCTCCTGGGGGAAGGAAGCGTGCGGAGTGGCTGGCGCGCCCGCCCGCTCACCCCCTGACGGTGCTGACGCCTAGGGGGGCGCTCAGTTTTTCGAGTCGCGCCCAGCCGACGATGCACCGTGGACCGATTGATCGGCGGCGAGGGGTTGGACGGGCTACGCATGGGTAGTGCACGGCCAAGTTACCGAATGAAATTAGCAACGCCAGCCAGCGCAATGTCCTGGGCCATCGGGGGGCCCTGTCCAGAACCGCCCTCCGCCTCCAACGCCGCTGGATGCCATCTTCGGGCCGAGGCCCCCAGGAACACTTCGAGCAAACCAAGAGTTGCGCCCTTCTCACGCCCGCTGGAAGTAAGAGCCCGAACGGAAACACTGCCTCCCTGATGGCATCCAGACGCGCCCCGAGGCCCCGAGGAGGCCGTTGACCATCCGACACTCCCGCAAGACATCCCCACCATCGCCAGGACCCCAAACACTGACGGTGCAAGCGCTGATTGGGGCATTCAGCGACGCGTGGCGGTGAGAGAACCACCGCTGCAAACAGAGGGAGGGTGAGGGCGTGCCCCCCTGACATGCATTAACAGCCCGTGTTGTCCCCTTCTGCAGCCGGGGCCCCACGGCGCCCACGACGGTGTCGTTCTCGATCAGCTCGAAGTGCGCCAGCAGCCAACGCTTCGACAAGTCGAAGATCTCGCAAGCAGCCCACGCATCAAGACTCCTAGGCAACGCCTCCAACTCCACCAAGCGTTCTCTGAGCTTCTGGTCGCCGTCCAAGTCGACGACGTACCCTGGCGTCCGCATGGGGACGTAGAAGGGCTCGAACGGGCTCCAGCTGTGAAAGCCGACGTGCATGAACGCGTAGAGGGCGCCGTCGTCGCACTCGGCAGCGGGGCCGCCATCCCCATCGTGCCGAACAGCCAAGCCGATGAAACAGCACACGATCAACCCTGAATCAACGTTGGACCGGAGAGCTCCAGGGCGGTATAAGCGCCGCGTGGCCTTCTCGAGGTTCGCCTTCAACTTTACCAGCGACGCCGACTCAGGGCAGCATATGAAACGGCGAGCCTCCCAGCACCTCCGGTGGACAGGTGGCTCGTCGAACACCTCGCAGTCCTTGTGCAAGCTTGCGCGGGACAGCCCATGCCAGAAGCGATGCAAGAGACCTCGCAACGCGCGCACTGGGCGGGTCTGCCCCGTCAGCGCAGCGAGTCGCTGCGCCCGCTGGTAGACGGAGTCGTCGGCCCACTCGGCGTGCAAGAAATTCGGGGCGCCTTCCTCGGACTGAGCGTTCCTCGGGTCGGCAACGAAGAAGCTAGCGCCAGCGGCATGCGGCGCCGCGCGGCCCGCTGCCAGGGCCAGCTCCCGAGCGCCCGCGCGGCCGCCCCTCTCGGCGAAGTCGACCACCTGCTGCTCGGCAACCTCCAACGAGCTGCAAGCCGCCCCCGCCAAGACGCGATTACCCCGACCCCCCCATGGAGCGCAGACCGAACCGAACAACAACAAACACCAACGTTCCGATGTAAACAACACCGAGGAACACGTCGGTGGGGATCCGTGTCTGGTTGGGGAGGGTCGGTTTGGAGCTCGTTCGGGCCTTCTCCTCACGCCGCTCCGAGTCCGAGGAGGTCCGCAGAGCGCGCTCGATGACTGCAAGGGCGTCTGCGCTCGGCCTGGCGGCCAACGCACCCGACGGGGCAGCCGCAGCAACGGCAGCGAGTGTGCGCCCGTGGGCCTCCAGGGCGCGGGGCAGGGGAGCAGGCTGCCCAACTCTGTCATCGGCGAGCTGAGCGCGGACGTGCATCGCGGCAACTGCCTCTGCGTCGGCGCGGGCCCTGGCCCGCTGCATCTCGCGCCGACCCATCGGAAAAGGCCCCCCCCCCTCGCTGACCTCAGCGTTGGCCTCATCCGCCTGCCGCTGGAGCTCGTCGATGTCGCCGTCGCCCAGCCTGCGGAACTTCGCCCACATCCCCGAGAAGCTGGGCTGTGCGTTGCCTTCCCGCCCGCACTCACGACTGAAGAAAGCGTCGGCAGCCCGCAGCTTCCGCCTCCGCGGGGCGCTCGGGGCGCCAGCAGCGCGGGCTTGTTGCCGGCATGGCTGGTCGGCCTCAGGGCTGCTTGAGCTGGGTGTCCGAAGCTGCCGAAAGGCTCTCGCCAGCCTGCGGAACCCTTGGCCGATCCATTCGACGCCGACGCGGGAAAGGCTGGCAACCCACGTGTTCACCGACGCGGGAAAGGCTGGCTCCACTCCTGCTTCACTGTCCTCATGGAGCAAGCTAGCCACGTGCATCAAGTCATGCCGCGCGTCTGCGATGACCCCGTGCCTGCGGTGCCTGCAGAACTGCAGCGACCAGGAGTCGAGCACGCAATCCTTCTCGTCGAGAGCCGCCTTCATGGCATCATCGCTGCGGATACCCGCAAACGTTTTATTCGGATACCATGTTTTCTCCAACTTGGTAAGTGATGTCGTGCAGACGGCCTGAGATAGCAAGCGGAACGCAGTGCACTGCAACCTCAGAGTCTTGCATCGCAGCGGGATGCCCCCCCAATGAGCGGAAGTCTGACATCAGAACGAAAGCGTTGTCAACCAGACGAGTCTCCAACTCCACATCGTAAGCCTCCAGAACTTGATACATGAAGGTGCGGCCATGGTTGCCCTTCAACGCCTGGGATGATGACGCTTTCTGCATCAACTTCTTATGGTCACCGCAAGAGTAGACCAGCCCACCGATGAAATCGCGGTGCAAGTTCATCGTTCTCAGCACGACGACGGCAGCGGATAGGACTTCATCTGGGCCAATACCAATAGTAGCGAAGTGCTTCGTGACGGTACCCCTCTGGCTCTACTATTCGAGCTTTTTTCAACTCTGCCTGCGCTGCGACGGCGAGATGCGGCACGCTCATGCCAGCTGGGTTCGAGTCCAGGACCGCTTGGAGCGCGCCCTTGCCGTCTAGGTCCACTCTCGGCTGTGCGCCCTTCTTCTCGCTGGGGTAATACACAGCAATCCACTTGCCCCATGCGTCGGCAAATATTCCCAAGCCCTGCAAGAGAATGAAATACTCCACTATCTCTTCGCACCCATTCCACTGGCGACAAGGAAACGAACGGGGTGCCCGCGGACATATGGCTGTGAGGAAATCGCGGGACAACAATTGCCGAACTCGTTCTTCAGATCTGCATCCGTTGGGGGAGTTCGCAACGTGAATGAGCCTGGAGCCGTCGATGCCGCCGTCGATCGTAGCCCAGATGACGCTCCGCCTCCACGCGTTCTTGCCGGTGCGGGGCTGCACCGCATGGTCGAGGAGGTGCTCGAGACGTTTCACATGCACTGGCAAGCAGGCCCCCTCCGCCAGGTAAGTGAACCGACCAGGCGCAAGTATAAGTTGCTTAACCTCTCTCCGAAAATCGTTGCTGTTGTAGGCTCTGCGCATCACAAGGGCGAGGTTGGTGTAGAACTCAATTTCTCGGGGTACTTTTTTCTTGAATGGGTCCTTCTTGCAATTTGACGCTCTATGGACGCAACACAGCTTATGTAGCAAGTGCATGCCGGGGTAGACACATGAGCGGTGACGCTCAGCCCTGATGAACGCCCTGTCTCCGTCTGTGGTCGTGTTCCCCTGGTGGCGGGCGAACTTCTGAGCGATGCGGTCTGCGTCGGCCAGGCGGGTCTGGTGCAGCACGGCGTAATAACATTCTCCACTTGTATTCGAAACCACTTGAACAGGGGTGCAGAGACTGAATGAGAAGCTGACGTGTGGGGCAGGTTGGCCGCCGCTGCCCCGCTTCACAAACAACACGCCATAGTTCCATTCGGTGTTGACCAGTTTCGCCCTCTCGTCAGCATCGCCGGGCAAGTCGTTGTCTATAGTTCCCTCGTCGTTCGACCCCGTGGCGCCCCTCGCAGGAAACTGGGTCTCATCTGAGCGAACGGCCTCTGTGAAGACCAGGCCCACGGCGCCCCCAGCAATGCAAATATCGTACACATGCTCCATCAACCTCACGACGGAAGTGGCGATCGTACAACGCAGCAGCGGCAGCCGTTCTCTCTTCTACACTTTGAAACGCGTTAAAAGATAGACCAACCATGTTTGCATATGCAGAGGCTGACATCATTGTTTATTTTTCTCTCAATACATACTCCCCGATCTCCATGTGCGTCTGGTGCAACAAGCCGTCTAAACTTATGTTGTTGGCGATGGCATCGCCAACCTCTAACACCAGACGTCTGAACGACTCTGCATCTGAAACCACGAAAGAATTATTATTGGCTAGAGCTGCGCCGCCGATGCTGTCCTCGGGCCCGCCGTCGACGGGGTCGACCTGGCTCTCGAGCTGCTGCGCCCCAGGCCCTGACGGCGCCAAGATGCCGCCGTGGTGTGTCATCACATCTGCGAGCACAGCGTTCACGGTTCTCCGACGTGGACGGCCGCGCCCGCCTTGAGCGGGTGGGCCCTCGACTATGGCATCCACGGGCGGGACCTCGACGATCATGGCATCAGCAATGGCGGCGGCGTCGGCGCCCTCGGGCGGGCCGTCCATGCCATCGTCGGTCGGAGATCCGAACAGTGACCAACCTGACAAGACTTCTGACGGGCCGCTGCTGCTCGACTCTCCGCCGAGATCTGAATCCAACAGTTGGCGACGCAACTCCAGCCAGTCGCCGCCCGTGCCACACATCGGGGGTCCGAGCGACACTCACACATGAGTCAAGGCTGTGTGAAACAAACAAAAATGAAAGGCTTATTTGAGCCAAAACGGTTACGGAAGCTCCCCCCACCAAGACTCTCCGAACAAGCCCAACGACACAGTCGTAAAGTGCCCCGCGCGTTCAATCCTATGGCGCTTCTGGTGGCCGCCATGAGTTCTTAACCTCGTATGGGCCCACGCAGATGAGATGGGGGGTGCGCCCGAGACTCCTTCGCAATTCACTCTGTTATGACGCACCCGCTGGAGACAACCTCACAATTCGATCTGGGATTAGGCTCCCGCTCGAGACTGACGTCACCAGCACCAGCGAAAAACGCGCCAGACACCCTAAGGAGCGCGACGATACTGGTGAGAGGATGATGGCGGGGCCATCGTGAATGCATATAAAGTATACAACGGAATGCCATACGGGTTCGGAGCGAACAGGAAGGGAAAATATACACATTAGCACACGCATGTGGAGGACTCGCGGCCATGGTGGAGGACAACGCAAAGAAAGAGGAGGAGGAGAGGGAGGATATAGATGGTGGCGATGGTGATCACATGGATAACGCGAGTTTGGTTGTGGTTGCGGGGGGGGCGGGGTTTGGTTGCGGTCGCGGGGGGAGGCGGCAGCTGCGCCGATAGGGTCGCCGCAGCAGCGGCTGGCCCCATCGGCGCAGCTGCCGCCTCGTGGCACCACTGCCCACGGGCATTTCGTGAGGGGCTATTTTTGGGGCTCGCTGTTTTGTAATCTGAATTCGTACATTCCGAATAAGATTTGCATAGTTTGGGCCTTTCTGCCCAGCGAGCTTACTGACGAGGCCAGGAAGTCTCAAATCTGGAGCGATCGGCGTTCCTGCGGGCGTTCCAGCGGGCGCTCTGCGCACTTCATCGAGAACGAACGCGTTTGCAATGAATCATGGGGGGGGGGGCTGGAGACGGGAAAGCGGATTGCGACATTGCTGGTATATCTTAGGTTTAATATGGCCCGTATTCTCCTCATGCTCTGCTGCCTCATACTGCTGCTGCTGCTGCTGCTCCTCCCCTTCATCCGTGGAGAAAGGATGACACTCATGGCGGGAGGAAGCCGGAGGAGACCAGGGGAGCACGAAGAGGACGGAAATGCGTGTACGTACGCAGAGGAGGAAAAGGGGGTTCATCGCTGTCCACGAGATCCAGGCTCGTGACAACCCAAAACACCCCTTGAGAGCTTTCGTAGACAGGGCACTTTGCAGCCAATGCGATCCAGAGTGCACGGGGGTGCTCCGCATGCGGCCCCAGGGAGAGTTCGAGTGATAGGAAAAAAGGGAGGTTGGTAGAGTCTTTACTCGCCCTGCTGCTGTAAAGCGGCTTGCCTGGCAAAGTGATCTTCTGGGCAAACCCATGTTGGTTGCAAACTGACCCCAGCGCGTCCCGAGGGGGGTCCCAACGAGGGGGGGGATCTCACGGAGGGGGGCCCGGAGGGGGGGGGGGGTCCTGGGAGATTCCCTGGGCGGGGGCGGCCTGGTGGGCGGGCTGGGGTGCTCAGGCCTCTCCGCCTCCGTCCCTGCTGATGCTCCGGCGATCTCGGGGCAAATGTGGACATCCTTGGGCCACCTGGGCTTGCCAGAGTCCTCTTGGGAGCAGCCTCGGCACTCGTGGAAATCTCGCGGGCCATCTTGAAAGTCCACGTCTGCTTCGACCCTTGGGTTTTCGTGTGATCTTGACGTTCTCGCCGCACCGGTCGCAACAGAGCCCAAGACGGCCAAAGAACATTCCAAAGCCAGCCCAAGATGGCCTAAGCTGGCCCAGCAAAGGGGCCCCCGAGCGGCGCCCACCAGGCCCCGAAGATGGCGAAAAGAGAGGCCCCCGAAAGCAGGCCGCTGCCGCACCGCTGAAGCAAATCCCTCGGACATGATCCCAAGACACCCGGAGGGGCCCAGAAGGGGCCCCCACAGGCCACAAGACGCACCCAGGTCGGCCACAAAGGCTCTCAAGCCCTCCCCCAAGCAAAACCCAGGATCCCCCACATTGCCACCACGGTCTCGGGAGCACGACCCAGGCGCAGTGGCCCGAGGGGCAGAGGACCGATAGATTTCCCCCGATCGCATTACAGCCACGGCTGCCCCTCTGCCCCCCTCCGTGCCCTTGCCGCCTCGTGCGCCCACCGGCCTGCTCACTTCGCTTGGTAGGCGGAACCGGCCGTAAGGCTTCAGCACCGTGGAGGAGGAGAGAGAAAAAGGAATGCAGTCAGGTAGAACTGTCGGTTTGCAGGGGTGGGCGCCTGAGACACATGCGTGGACTTCACATGAAACGGCCCCGCGCCATGACCCCAGTGGGCCTTGCGCGCCCCGGGAAAATGACGCTGCCGCTCGCCCGTTGACGCAGACATGAAGGAAGGACACTCCCCAGCGCCTCCCCCGCTCGAGGAAGAGAGGGACGGCAACGAACGCAGCCTGCTGTATGCTGGCCGCGGAGCAGAGAGAGTGACTACCTACCATACCACCCCAACCCAACCCGAAGACCCGAGTCTGACCCGAATTTCGGGTTGGGGGGGTACGCGTTCCATGTATTGTTGCAATGTTGCCCGACCCCCCCCCCACTGGAAATGGAAGGCAAATTGAAGCCTTCGGGATGGGTTGGGGTGGTTTGGTGGGCGGTGAGAGAGAGAGAGAGAGAGAGAGAGAGAGAGAGAGGAGCGGGAGGAGGGACATCATGATAAACGCACGGAGGAGCATAGTGGACAGGCGGCGCGTCACTGTGGCTCTTGGTCCATGGCTCGGGCCTCCGGTGGCCGCTCGGGAGCATCCGGGCACCCCCGGAATGCTCTCGGCGAGGCGCAACTGCTCGAGAGCATTCCAGAGCCGGGGAACCGCCGAAAACCAGCAGAAACCCAAGAACACCTCACAATTCGAAGGGGCGTGATGGCGACGACCCCGCAGGCTGTCGCGTTGGCGCAGCCTGCCGAACGTGTTGTCCACGCTAGGGCATTCTGCTGAGCGGAACAGCGTGCGCAGCCTCGCTGGGAGGAGCTCGCTCTCGGGTCGCCGCTTCCCGTCGGCACGCTGGGTGGCTTCGGGGTGGACGTCAAACCTGCCCGGGCCGAGCCCGTCCGTGCAGCCCTCATCCCTGCAGGCAGGTCCCCCGTCGAGGCCGCTCGCCTCTTGGGGCTGCCAGTCCCCGCCGTGCTGCCTGGCGTTGCCTGGCGCCCTATACCTCCGAGGACGTCTGGCTGGCTCTCGCCCAAGGGATCCGCGCCGCTCGAACTCGCGTGGCCCTTTTCCTGGCTGATGCACGCGCCATCGGGCCAGGCGTTCAGCTGCGCCCCTATTCCAACACCTCGCGGCACCAGGTCTCGATCGCCGTGCCGGGGAAAGCGGCGCGATGCTCGCCCGCGCCAAACTGCAGGCCGCCCGCGGCGGCGAAGACCGTGCCGAGCTCCGCGTCGCCACGCGTGCCGTCGGCCTCAACGTCGGCGCCCGGTCCGGCGCGCAGCCCGCCGTGACCCCAACCGCCGAGCCGCCCGCGCCGCCTCCGCCGCTGCGCTCGGGGTCGCTGCCCGCTGCGTGGTGCCGCTGTCCCTGCTACTCGGCGCGTTCCCTGCCGTGGTGCCGCCCGTCCCAGGCGGGCGCTGCCCCAGCCGCGCGTGGGGCGCGGCCCACGAGGCCCGCCAGGGCCCCAGACCCCCGACGTCGTGATTTTTTCACAACGTCGACCCCCTGAGGTCTGGACCCTTTCCCCGGGACCGGTTCTTCGTCCGGAGTCGTTTTTTGACAGTCCCGAGGCCCGGTGAGGGCCGCCGAAGGCCGAAAATAGCGAAAAACCTCCCGTCGTGATTTTTTCACGACGCGAGGAGGTCTGGGGCAGAGGCGACGGCGCGCTGCAGTGCGGCTCCCCGCGCCTCCGCGGGCGACGCCACGCCCTCCCCGGAGGCGCCGGCGCCGGCGCTGGCCGGGCGCGTGACGCGTGGGCCGCGGCCGCGGCGCTCTGCGGCGCTCTGCGGGCGCCGCGCCGCTGCCCTGGCCATCCGCTCGGGGCCCGCTGTGGCTGCCAGGGGCGGCCTCGAGTCTCCGAGGCCTGGCCCACGCTCGTGGGGAAGGGCGGCCCGAGGCTGCCCCGCGCGCCGCGTGCCGCCGCACACGGGCGAGCGCAGGGCGGGCGTGGAGGAGGAGGAGGAGGAGGAGGAGGAGGAGGAGGAGGAGGAGGAGGAGGAGGGAGGAGGGAGGAGGAGGAGGCGGAGGAGGAGAGGAGGAGGAGGAGGAGGAGGAGGAGGAGGAGGGGGGGAGGAGGAGGAGGAGGAGGAGGGGGAGGAGGAGGAGGGGGAGGAGGAGGAGGAGGAGGAGGAGGAGGAGGAGGAGGAGGAGGAGGAGGAGGAGGAGGAGGAGGAGGAGGAGGCCCGCCGCCAGCACCGCTTGCAGAGTTCTGCGTCCACCGCGCACGCAGGGCGGCCGCGGCCGCTGCCGCCGGGTGGTGCCACCCTCCGCGCCCCTGCCGCCGCCCTCAGGCGGTGCCGTCCGCAACGCCTCGCGCCGACGCCCGCACGAGCGTGGCCTGCGCCGTCAGCCCACGGCCGCGCCCGGCCGTCGTTATCGTCCACGCAGCCATCGGCCGCCTCAAAAGGGAGCGTTCTGCACTGAGGAGGGCATGAGGGCCTCCTGCCGCGACGCCAGCCTGGCGCCCAAAGGCCAGCTCGAGGCAGAACGGCTACGGATGATGATCATGAGGACGAGAGGGAAGCGGGGGAACAGGCGGAGGGCGAGGGTTGGCGGCCAGTCGAGGGGTGGTAAGCTTGCGGGGCGGCCAGCCTGCTCATTGAGGTGCTTGGCGATCACGTAGGAGTCCAGGTGCGGGTTCATGGGGATCTCCCGCAGGGGGCCCACCTCCGGTGGGGGGGGAGGATGAAGAGGAACAGCGGAAGAAGGGAGGTGGAGCAGGGGCAGATGGAGAGGGAACAGGTCAGGGTGATGGTGCGAGGATGGGGGGAGACAGAGGGGGACGAGGAGCAGGAGGAGGAGGAGGAGGAGGAGGAGGAGGAGGAATAGGAGGAGGGGGAATGGGGGAGGCAGGAGGTGGCAGAGGGGCAGCAGTAAGAAGAAACATGAGAAGAAGAAGAAGAATAATAATAAGAAGAAGAAGAAGAGGACCATTAGGAGCAGGATAATCATTGGGAGCAGGAGGAGGACGTGGAGAAGGCTGCCCCTCCCCCTCCCCCTCCTGCTCCTCCTGCTCCTGCAACCCTTCGCCCCCCTCAGCTCCTGCGTCCTCTCCTCTACCCTGTCCCGCCCACCCGTTCCGACAACGCCCCCTCGATCCTTTACCCTTCTCTCCTCCTCCCTGCGCTCCTTCTGCCCCCTCCCTGAGTGCCCCCTTCGAGCGCACATGTCTGAGCGGAGTGGGAGGGCTCCCTCAGGGCGCTGAGTGAGTGACCTCCTCGCTCTCGGCGAGTGCCCCCCACCCGGCGGCGCGGGGATGGGGCGAGGTGACGCCAGAGTGGAAGAGGACACAACTACATGCGGGGTTCCGCGCGGATTTCTCGCATCGGCCGATTGACTCCCCTCCCTGGCGCGAGGAGCGCGCAAGGGGCGACGCCGGATATGCTGCCAGTGGGGCCCCGTGCCCATCCAGGAACTTCTCGCGGAGCTCCGAAAGTTCATGCACATGGAGTTTGCTTTTTTCGAGCGTCGACCCACTGCCTAGTGCCTTATCCCTTAGGCCACAGGGTCCTGTCACGCTTCGAGGGCCCCCCGGCCGAGAGCGGTCGTCTCATCCGCCTCCTGTGGTTCCACCTGCCTCCCTCTTCCCCGTGTGCCGCAAGTATCGCCGCGCGTGTCCCAGCGAAGCCTGCCAGCAACTCGGACGCGAAAGGCTATCGATCAAAACAGTTGAGCCAGTGCTCTTCTCCCCCCTCCCGAGCGTCGACGCGAGAGACGCGAGAGACCTCCTCCTCCTCCTCCTCCTCCTCCTCCTCCTCTACCTCCTCTTCCCTTTGCTCCTCCTGCTTATCCTCCTGCTTATCCTCCTTCTTCTTCTCCTCCTCCTCCTCCTCCTGCTGCTCCTGCTCCTGCTCCTGCAATTACTGCTCCTGCTCCTGCTCCTCCTCCTCCACCTCCTCCTCCTCCTCCTCCACCTCCTGCTTCCCTTCCTCCTCCTGTTCCTGCTACTCCTTCTTCTCGTCCTCCTCCTCCTCCTTCTCCTCCTCCTCCTCCTCCTCCTCCTCCTCCGAATTGTTGCAGGAGCAGGAAGAGCAGGAGGGGCAGGGGGAAGGGCAGCCTCCTCCACGTCCTTCTCTCGCTCCTACTCATTATCCTAATCCTAATGGTCCTACTCTTCTTTTTGGTACTCCTGCTCCCCTTCCCCTTCTCCTCCTCCTCCTCCTCCTCCTCCTCCTCCTCCTCCTCCTCCTCCTCCTCCTCCTCCTCCTCCCCCTCCTCCTCCAATTCGTCAAATTCGCCCAATTCTTCGTCATCCTCCTCCTCCTCCTCTTCTTCTTTATCGTCCTCGTCCTCGTCTTCGTTCGTTCTCGTCCTAGTCCTCGTTCTCCTTCCTCCCCATCCACGTCCTCTGCCAGGGGGGAGCCCGCCATGCCCCAGAACGCCGGCACGGCCACGGCCACGCCCGCGACGCCGGCGAGCAGCGGCGCGAGCAGGGCGGCGAGCGCGCACCTGTAGGGCAACCAGCGCGTGGTCTGACACACCTCGGCGCCGCTTCGGGTCGCCTCCGCTGCCGCTGCTGCTTTTGTTGGCGTCGGTTTATAGTGGATTCTGCCGGATGATAGTTGATGATCTGTGGAAACGGTTCTGGGCGCTCTCTCGTCGATGCCCGCTGCATTCTCCTTGAAGCCGAGGCCCTTGTTCGAGCGCGGGCTTGTGGGAGGCCCAAACTACGACGACAATGGTTCCCGCTCGATCCTTCCTCACAACTTACTCCGGAAAGCCCTGGCCAAAGATGGCCCAAAACTCAGGGCTGGTGCTCTCGCTTGATACGTCTCGTTGACGATCCAAGTTTTTGGAAGCCGAACTACTAAGATAACGGTTCGCGATTCGTGCGCTCTCACAATTTAAGACATCATGCCCGAGGCGCACTCGCAATCCATTCCGTGCTGTGAACGCCCAGCTGCTAGGACAACGGCTCCTGCTCGATACCTCTCCACATTTTTGGGACCGACCTGGCCAGAGGTCCTAAAACTTACAAGCGGTGGTCTCGCTCGAAACTTCTTCGCACACCAAACAGCTTGAAATATTCTCGATGACCCCTAATAGCGGCGCGATGGCGGTGACTCAGCGGCATGAGATGACGGAAATTCCTGTTTTACGGGTGGCGGTCCTTAGGTCCCTGGCGCAGGGCCCCTTGCCACCCCCAGGAACTTGATGCTCCAGGGTGGTGGGTGGGTTGCTCGAAATCGGCCGAGCGCCCGGATCAACTGGCCATATACGTCAGGCAGAGAGGTGGAGACACCTACGTGTTGGTACACGGAGGTGTATCCTCGACTAGCCCTGCTAGCGGTGAGATGGCAGCAACAGGGGGAAGGAGATGACGGAGATGCCTCCATCACGCGCAGGAAACCCTGCGATGCCGACGAACTTGATGCCCCCATGCACTGGGAGCGAAGCGTCAGCAGGGAGAGAAGATCCGGAGGTGAACAGGCGGATCCGGCCCCCCCCCCAGGACGCTGCGAGCGTCGGAGGGCCCATCCCCCTTGCCGTGGACCCTTCCCTCGGCCTGGGCGCCTACCCTGTACCTCATCCCGCGGGAAGGGCCGCCCGTCCCAGGCGGGCAGCCAGTGCGAGGGGGGGCTGCCTATGCCGAGGGAGGAGGCCCACTTCGCCCGTCGCTGTTTTCCAGATTTTCAAGGCACCACCGCCTACGCCCGTGCCGCACCGCACACGTGCAAAAGCGTTTCGCGGGAGCGGTCTCGAAGCCCCACCCATCCTCCACCGCCCGCAGCGGAAGGATCGGGGCCCGCGGGCAGGAAAGGGAACCCCCGCCGCAGCGGCGCCCACCGGAAGGTGGGGGCTCAATTCTATCCCGAAGGCTCGCCATCGAACTCGCGGTCGGGCCCCCGCCCTATAAGGGTTGTCTGGGGCCCCGACGCTGCTGGCGCTCGTCACAACCGGGCTCCGCCAGTACGACGCCGCGGTCGGGCCCCCGCCCCGACAGGTCGCGCGGGGCTGGCGGGGCGCTGCCCGCGAAGGTCGCATGCATGGACCGCGCCGAGGTCCTCGGGCTGCTCTCAGGGGCCAGCTGCCTGCCCGCTGCTCGCCAGCTGGACTTTCAATGCTTGCAAAGCAAAATCGGAGCTTCTCGCGGTCCCCCAGCCAAGGGAACCCCCATGCACGGGCGCGGCGCTGATCGCAGCGGGCGCGGGCCTCGTCGGTTTGTCCTACTCGCCCCTTGCCAGCCGCCTAATGTAGTCGTTCTGCAGCGCTGCGTTGGAGGAGGTCGGCGTCGTCCGACCCGGCCAGTCCACATCGTTCAAGTGCGCGGGAATGCCGAGACGGCGCGCGAAAGCTGCGACGTCTGCTCGACGCTTTTGCCCCGCGAGGTGGTGGAACACCGCGGGCCGCGTCTGCACCTGGCGGCCTTGAGATCTGCCTCCTGGCGAGCGCCTGGCTCCTGTCGCCCTCCCTTCTCGCGTCTCCTCCGCCCGCGCCCCCCCCCCCCGCGGGGGCGCGCGGCGACGCGTCTCGCTCTCGGGCCTCGCGAGCGGCCGCCGGCGCGACTTTCTGGCCGGGCCCCGGCCCCGAACGGTCGCGCGGGGCACCGCGGCGGCTCGCGTCGCGGAGGCGGTTCGCTTCGCGCCTGGAGGGCGCGGGCTGCCTTGATGCGGCGCCTGGCGCCAGGTCGCGACGGCGCGGGGCCGCCGGACCCGCGTCTGCTGGTGGCGGCATCGGGGGGCGCGGCCCCCTGGCCTTGCGCTGCTGCCGTCGCTGCGCTGGCGCCAGCGCCGCTCGCCGCGGTCTGCCGGCCTCTCGGGGCGCCCTGGATCGGCGTCGGCCCCGCGGGGGCTCCAGAGGGTGTCTCCCGCGCAGCCGGGCCCGCGGGCGGCCCCCCTGCGCGTGCATCACGGGCGGCCTCGTGCACAGCAAAGCGGGCTCGCGCGGAGGAAACGGCATTTTTTCGCGTCGCATCCGGCCACCCTGGAGCTGCGCTTGCACGCCCGGCGCCTGGTCCTGGCCATTGTGCCTGACATGGCCGGCCAGGCGGGCCCCGGCGCGCGTCGCCGTCGCGCGCCCCGCCCTGGCGCTCCTTCTTCGGTGGGCTGTCGCGGAGTGCCCGCGGCCGCGGCGATTGCGACTGCCGCGGCAGAGCAGAGCAGAGCAGAGCAGAGCGGCCCGTGGGGGAGGCGGGAAGTTCCGCCTGCCCCGGCAAGGCGCCGGGCCGACATTACCGGCGAATCGTGGAAAATATCGTAACGTGTGAAAATGTGACAAATACCACGGCGCGGCGTGACAGACATTGAGCGTCAGGCGCCCGGCTGAGTGCGTGCATGGTCGGCAGCAGCAACGGCAGGAAGAAGGAAGCAAACGGCAGGAGGACGCGGGGGGAGGCGACGAACGAGAACGGGAAGCAGACCGAGCAGAGAGCAGCGCGGAGGAGGAGGCAGGAAAGCGAGCGAGAGAGAAGCAGCGGAGCAGGAGGACGGCGAACGGACGGACGGCGGAGGGGGGCAGCGGCAGCACAGCAGCAACAGCAGCAGCAGCAGGGGAACGGAAGAACAAGAAATTAAAACAATTACACGTCTGTCCACCTCTTCCGCGGGCCGCCTACGCTTCTCCTTGCGTTCACTCGAAACCAAGGTACCCAATTAACAAGTCTCGCACTCCATCTGCGGTCGGTGGGCGAGGACAGCTTGCCTGCTAATGTCCATTTCTGTTTCCAGAACATAGACACCCAATCGCCCACGCCGCTTCGCTCAGAAATCTGCATACTGGCGCGGGTGGCACGCCGGATGTACTCGACCCAGTCTTCGTCAGGTAGCCGTCCAATGCCCACCATCTGTCTCAGCATCCGGCGCTGCGTGGATCGAAGCTTTCGCTCCTCGGCAGCTGTGAGCGTCCAGGTGCTGGAGGCGCACAGTACGCAGGGCACCGCGCACGCTGCGAACAGTCTCAGACGCTGGTGGATCGGGAGGCGCTTGTTGCACGAGAAATCCTTCAAGGCGTGGAACGCAGCCCATCCGGAAGCGAGCCGATTGCCGAATTCTGCTCCATGGACGTCATCCAGAGAAACTTTCTTGCCAAGATACTCCTCTGATTCGCCGTGCTGGAGCACTCTCACGTTGTGCGCGCCGCACTTTACATGTGGCGGTCGGTCAGATGCATTGGTCAATACCACTGTCTTGCCCATGTGGACCTTCAGGCCGTATTTTTTGGCCTCAGACTCTAGATCTGCGATCATTCTGGAGACGTCCCTTTTGCATCCAGATAAAACGAGAAAGTCGTCGGCGAAGCGCATGTTTGTCAGGGGATCTTCGGGGTCGTCCACCACCAACCCATAATACATTCCAGTGCGCTTGCTGTTCAGTTTGTTCCAGCGTGCCTTCAACTTGCGGAATATGGCTTCCATGACCACGACAAACAGAAAAGAGCTTATCGGATCCCCCTGTTTCACGCCCCGCGAGATATCGAAGGGTCTACTTCTCTCGCCAGCGATTACAGTGGCTGTCTGCCTTGCGTAGAGGCGCTTCAGCAGATCGACGCATGCGCTCGGTACTCCCTGGTCTGCCAGGGCTGCCCAAAGTGTATCGCGTTCAACTGTGTCGAACGCTTTTTCGAAATCGATCATGCCAATCCACAAATCTACGTTGAACTCGTTGCAAGCCTCTGCAATCAGAGTCATAGAAATCAAATGATCCACAGTGCTTGAGCCCTTCCTGTATGAGGCCTGGTCGACTGACTGCTCACCAATGATCGCACCGCGGAGGCGGCCACATAGGAGCCGACTGAACAGCTTGTACAATATCGCTAATATCGCGATTGGCCGGTAATTGCCAGGCAAGGAAGCGCCCCGCTTCTTGTGCAGCACAGTGATGCGGGTAGCCAACCACCCGTCTGGAAGTTGTTTGCCGGGAGCAAGGATCGCGTTGAACGCCTCCAGCATTAGACTCCTCAGCGTTGGGCAGTCGACTTTCAGGAGCTCTGCTTTGACTCCGTGGTCGTCGCCTGCTTTGCCCTTTTTCATCAGCCGGATAGCAGCGTCCAGCTCCTCTGTCGTGAAAAGAGGCACACTCTCTGCCCCTCCGGGCGCGTGCACCTCTGGCCTGTCTTGGCCCCTGGTGGTCGCGTACAGGTCCTCGTAAAATTGCGCAAACACTTCGGCGATCGAGGTCCGGTCATTGTGGAGATGCCCGTCCTTGTCCTGCATTTCAGTGATATGGCACTTCGACCGGTTACCTGCCATTTCTTTCAACTGTCTAATACCACGGAACTCCTCCAAGATCCTCTCCGCCTTGCCAAGTTTGGCGTTGACCCGGCGAGCACGGATCCGCTTTTGGATTTCCTTGCTCCATAGCGTCCTGAGGTATTTCTGGTCTGCTGCCTGGAGGTCTGCTGTCTGAAGACTCCTGCGCATAGCTATCATCATGCGCGACGTTTCGTCCGATTCGATAGCTGGCGCTGTCTCTGGATTGGCACCTTCGCGCGCCTGGTCACCCCGAGCTGCGCCCGTCATGCACTTGTTCAACATATTGATCTT